TGGCGCCTCTCGCTTTCTGCCCTCCTGTAGTGTTTTTAAAAAAAAAAAAACCCAACCTGTTGGGATGTGCTTAGGGCACTGTCCGAGCCGGTGTCGGGTGGTGCGGCGGGCAGGGCTGGGCTGGGCTGGGCTGGGCGAGGGTTCGCTCCGAGGCGCCTCACCCCCTTCTTCTCCCCGCAGATCTTCCAATGGAGGCAGCTGGAGAACCTCTATTTCCGCGAGAAGAAGTTCTCGGTGGAGGTGCACGACCCGCGCAGGTGAGAGCCGAGCCGAGCCGAGCCGGGCTTTGCAGCGCCCAGCCGGGCTTTGCAGCGCCGAGCCGGGCTTTGCAGCGCCCAGCCGGGTGGTGGCGAGCCGCGCTGCCCCCGCCGCTGTGCGGGGCTTGCTGCGCTTGGTAGCTGGGAGGCCCGTAAGCAAGGGGCAACGGGTACCGAGCCGGCTGCTGCTTCCTTCCAGCGGGACATTTTGGGTTCGGGTGGGTGTTTTTGAGGATGTGTTTCCCCTCGGCTCCTAGCGGTATTCTTTTTTCCTTCCCTCTGTTTTGGCACCTTCTGACCCCCGGGGCTGTGCAGCTCCGGTGCCCCAGCTGCGGTGCCGGCAGCCCCCGTGCGTGGAAGGGGGGGTTGCCTCGTCCCCGGGTTGCACTTGCAGCCTGGAGATGGGCGCCAGATTTTGTACTCACATGCTTCCTTGTAAATAAATATTCAGTAGTGCAACTGAAAGGAATGGCACGGTACCAGAGGTTTACCGGCACTCTGGATGAAAGCCCATCAGTCTTTTTGGCACAAGAGTCTTTTTTCCTTACTTGGGAGACTTAATGTGGGACAGAGTGAGTTCAAGGGCTGTGCTGCATCTAATCAGTGCATTCTGCACCCCTTGCTCATTTGCGTTAGTGGATGGTTACTGCAGACGGTGACTAGTGTGTATATTGTTCTGTAAGTTGTTCTTGCTAAAAGCGCTGTCCCGCTTGCAAAGTAAGTATGAATACGGCTGATGGAAACCAGCCCTCTTCCCAGGCTGATTTGATGTGCTGCTGGTAGTAGCGTGTTTTGCTGATTGCTCAGCTGTGATCCTGTTTCACCTGTTTCCCGTGCCTATCTGTGTACTAATATAATGTATTTTTATTAGGGGAATTTTGCATGCAGTTTCTGTGCTTATTTGCCCCGATACGAACATGGTCGCACCAATACAACGGTGCCTGTCTCCATAGGTGCATTTTGTTAAAGCAAAAACTGAGTAGAGCAGCTCGTACCATTCTGCAGCTCCAAGTCAGCAGAGCCTTGAAGCATCTGCTTAATATTAAGCATGTAAATAGTCGCGTGAAATCTAGCAGAGCAAATTCCCAAAGTTGAGAATACTCTGGGAGATCTTCCAGCAGCGGGAGCTGGGGGCGGCATACTCCTTCCCCCACCGAGCCTCCGGCAGCGGGCGAGGAGTCTGAAACGCGTGCTGCAAGCAACCAGCAGCGAGGAGCCCCTAAACGCCCGGGCTGGCCGTTTCCTGTAAGCAGCAATTGCAAGGAAAAGAAAGCAGATAGCTCTGTTAAAATCATGATGATATTTGCAACTCAATGTCACACGTGAAATGTGACCACACAGAGGAACCTCTTCTGTCTCATTTGTATTTAGATGATAGGAATTACTGACACAGAAGAGCTTCCGTTTTTTATTCCATTGCGCTGTTTTTCTGAATCAACACCAGAGGGACAAAACCCTGTCCCAGGTTGTCAGCCTGGTACTTTCCCATTACGAGGGAATTCAGTTGGTTGATTTTCATATCCAGAGAGTGCCACCGTCCAGGTCAAAATGGTACGCTGGCTGTAAAGCAGCAAGGCACGTTGCAGTGGCGTGGTGGGAACACGGCTCGGGTTGTGGTCGTCTGCCCAAGTGGGATGGACTCCTGTGAGGAGCTGTTGGTGTGCGGAGGCGGAGGAGTAGCCAACACAGTGCTCCCTCCGCATTCCTCTCCGTGTAGCCAAACCAGAGCCTGAGTCAGCGAAGCCACGCTCGCAGGAGAGCAAGCACGGCTCCGTGGTTGTGGACAGGGCTGGGCAGCACAATGTATGTTTTTAAGCCCTGCCTCTGCCTGTGGCTTCCAGTCCTGAACAAACCATTTAACCTCTCTTCATCATGGTTATTTACCCCGTAAAGGAAGGAAATTATACATTTTAGGGGGTATCAACAGAATTAATTCCATAGCACACGTGGCATGCGTGGAGGGAAATCATGGAAAAAACACCCGTGGGCCATCTCTCACAGGTCCCCAAAAGACAGCTGTGAAAAGCAAGTCCACAGTTCTGACCAGCTAAGTCTGCAGACTCCCTAACGGGGTCTGCAGTTTTGATGGGAAACATGTACAGATCCCCAAAAGAGAAAAAATTGGAAATTGCTGCTTTTAAGATGAGATGAATGGTTTGCAGAGTATGTTTCTGAGAGTTCAAAATGAGTAACTGCGTTTGAACTGAATAGGATGACACCAGAATTAAGGCTTTAGCCCATGTTTGAGTGCCTTAATGCCTTAGAGCCTTATAGGTCAATGTGCTGCAGTGCTTTTTGTCCCTTAAACCCACATAAAGCATCCAGCCTCTCCAGCCTCAACTTCAAGAGCACCAGCCAGCACAGCCTTCCTTCCCTGTCCAGGGAGACAGGGATGAGGCAGCCCAGCACCCATCCTCATCAGGACCATCAGCCACCATCCTGTTGCATCCGTGGAGAGTGTTCTCACAGGAACAGTACTCATAACGGGACAAGGTCTTCTGCTCCAGTCGCATGGAAAGGACTCAGCACAGGGCAGCACAGAAACATGAGATCCCAGTTGCCTCAGACCTTGTTTGTATTGGCCGCAGCTGTTTTCTCAGAGAAATTTCACTCCAATTTGTAGCCTCACAATTTGACTTTAACATGTTTTGCAGCACTGGAAAGGCCCTGACACAAGAGCTATCAGCCCTCTCCCAGGCTGAACCTGGCCAGCAGTTCCCATTTCGCTGCGGAGTTTTGCTTTTCTTTCATTCTTGGCTCTATAGCAACTTTCTTTGACCATGTGCCTCCCCTCCCCACGTTCACCTCCGATTTTGGACAGGCACCAGAGGAAAGGTGGCCAGTGCAGGTGCAGGAGGGGAGCCTTAGCAGGCTTGAGGACTTCCGAGTGCTGGGAAAAGAGTTGACCACCCCTTGCACTGCACAGTATAGCTCCTGGGCTGTCCTGCAGTGTCACCTACATATCTGCATCGCACAGAGTGCCTGCTGGCTGTGGACTGTGGCAGCCCCTCCGCAGCATGCCCTGCTCCCCGGGCTGTCTCTTGCACTGGCCGCTCTTCACCATCCACGTCCTTGCGTGAAAGGCTGTAACAAAAGTGTGACGTTTCTGAGCTAGCCTGTGTACCGGTGCTCGCATTCATTTCACAATCGTCCTCCACCACAAGACTCCTCTTAACAGACGGGAGAGGAGAACCTCATTGATTTGGGGCTCTCTAGATCGGTGGCTTGGTTTCCTCCAGCCAGTGCTACACCCCTGCAAGCAGGAGGGTTTCTGCAGACCAGGGCGCTGCAAGCCTGTGTGTGCCGGTGTCAGGGGCTCTGCTGGTGGGGTTAGAGTTGAGGGGTGGGGAGGAGTAATCAAGCCATTTTGTACAGCTGTGAAAGCATGAGGAAACCTAACCTGTGGTTTTTGCTAATATTTGAGGACAATTGGGAGTCCCAGAGAGGAAACATTTCGCTCTTATTTTTCCTGTTTTTATATTCACTCAGCTAATCGCTGAGTAACATTTTTCTCTCTAGGGTACTAGGCAGCCCTCTCCGAGTCTCACAGCTCCCCTTTCCCATACCATATGGCAAGTCCTCCTATGTCTGTTTACAAGTGGGGAAATCAAGGTACCTGAAGGGTCTCTCCCACATTCCTTAAAGCAGCCATTGATCCTGTGGATCTTTAGTTGCCACCTGAGTCCTAATATTTGAGAGCCACCATCCAAAGCCAGAGGCAGTGGAAGGTGTGAGGACTTGGCCTTAGGTATTTCAGCATGTGATGAGACACAGAGGATTCACGCATGCTTTGGCATTAGTGACTCCCCTGGGACACGCAGCAGGTCGGCATCAGCTCAGTCATGAGCTGATGGTCTTTACTGTTAGTCCTCTAGAGGTTGCTAACTTGAGGAGTTATTTAAAGTAAATGCTCTCTTGGCTTGAGCAGCTATTTATTGCTGTTCTCTAAGCATTTTTTCCCAGTAGCACAAGGGTGTGTGCAGTAAAGACAGCAGCTTTTACCATGAAGTCTGTGATAGGTTCTGCCACAGAAAACTACCTGAGGAAGCCTTGGTGTAACCCCAGTTCATTCTTTTCTCCTCTCCAGGGCATCTGTGACCAGGAGGACTTTTGGGCATAGTGGCATCGCTGTGCATACGTGGTACGCCTGTCCAGCACTAATAAAGTCTATCTGGGCTATGGCCATTAGTCAACATCAGTTCTACCTGGACAGAAAGCAAAGCAAGGTAAGCACGTTGGAGGTGGGAAGTGCGTGTTGCAGTGGGTGACTCCTTTTCACTCCCCACGGTCCGAGCAAGGTCAAGTCCAGATGGTGGCTCCTTTCCTATCCTCCCTTTCCACTTGAGATCAAAAAAAGGCAAATTGACTCAAAATATCTGCTGGCTTTGGCCAGGTTGAGGGAATTTGTATTGAATTCATGTCTGTGGGAGTGAGGATTGAGGGAAAGGTTGTACTGAACTGTGGACAAATTGGAGGAGCCAAAGTTTGCGCGCAGATAGGGTCGTCTCCCTGTCTGGATGGTTTCCACATGTCTTCTGGTTCTTGAACTCTGTCATAAAGTTAGGGCATCTTCCAATAACTGAGTTTAAAGTAGCTTCACGCTCTACACCTGTTTCTGAATCCTTCTTGCTGTCCCTTGCTTTTTACTATCTATCGTATTTTCCTAGACATAAGGGGTAGGGATATTATTTCTCTCTCCACACAGAATCTCACAGCAGCAGGAGAGGGGCAGGATGCTGACAGCCTGGCCTTACAAGGAACTGTCTTGATCTGGTGCTGCACAAAGGACTGCTCAATACACAAAAGAAACCATCTTGAAACCAGAGGAGTGTGTGTTTTCCCTCTAATTCCTTTCATCAACAGTAATTTTAGGCATACCCAGAGCAGCAGGAGATTGCTTTGATCACTTTGAGATCGTTTTGAGACAGAAGAGAGACTTCCCATACAGACACCCCTCTCCATACAAGCATGCTAGTGTAAGACTTTACAAAGATAAAAAGTGTTTTGAGCGGGTACCTGCTTATACAGCTGCCTGCATTGACCCCCATCTCTGGTGAGATGGCGGGAGTCTGCAGGGTGATACTCCTTAAAATGTCTGAAACAAGCTTAACATCTTAGTATTGCTGAAAGCACAGCCCACATTTTCAGGCAGGGGCTGCTCCCTCCCATGTGCAGGCCCTGGCCCTGGCCCTGTCAGGTCCCTTCATGAGCCAGGTTAGCTCACTAAACTGACAGAAAAATCTTCCTTTTTCCTGTTTTACTTTGCTGCGTTATTTTTCTTCCAGTTCAATGAATTGAATTGACTTGCTGAAATTATGTGAAGGGCCATCAGTGTGCTGTTAGCCCAGCTCACTCTAAACCCTTCTGACATTGCTTTCCCCATCATGATCTCTGTGACTTCGTTGTAGAGTGGGTAGGACTTTGGGATGCCTTGGGTAGAACACATGGTTACACCCACTTTGGCCGTGTCCCATCTAAAAAAAAAACAGGATTCATCTTAGTTGCTGTGAGCTGTATTGAATTTAGGGATGTAGCTAACTTCCCACCCCTGCCTAAGTGCTAGCTGTGAATATGGACAAAATTGCACACTCACCCGATACCAGGTAATGCTTTCCTGTCCCCCTCCTCTTAGCACCATCAGGACAATGCATACCTCTCTCTGGTTTGCTCTCAACAAAAACAACTCGCCAAACAAACAGTTTATTTTTTTTTACTTTTAGCCAGATGGGTTTGCTGATCTAGCTGCAAGGTATTTAGGTCACAAGCAACCAACAAACAAAAGGAGATTCCCTCCTCCTCCCATTTCTTTGGTAAGAAACTGGGTCTCTTAAATGCCCAGGACTTCCCTTCAGTGACTTCTTTTGTTGCTGGCAGATTGTGTTTCAGTCTGATCTCCCCTCTCTCACACTCCTACAGACAGCACCACCCACCAGCCCTCGTTTGTCAACCTGTCACGTCTGTGACCATGTCAGTGTGCTTTGTCACAATAATCCCAGTGGTCACACTGAGGCTTTGAAGTTAAGGCATACAAATATTTTTGTCCCTTTCTCTTAAGGGAGCTGGTGTTTTAGTCTGTTGTCCTCATCTTTGACGTGACACTGTCAAGATTGATAGATCCATCAATTTTAATTGATCTGTTCAATTCATCCCGCTGGTCACTTCAGGACACCGTACCCATGTGTGCTTCGCTTTTGAAAACCAGTAAAACATACTCCAGAGTGGGGTAATGTGAAATGTCTTCGTTTCGGCTCTCAAGGGCTTAGACAAACATTTATTTGAGTTTCAGGTCGCATGGGTTCGCATCCCCTTAAATCTCAGTCCCCACTTCAGCTAAATCCCCAACTTCAAAGCAAAACTTAGAGATTCCCTCCTTTCATGTCCAAACTTGGCATTTCATATCGTTTTGACAAAAGAAAGAAAAATAAAAACAAACTTAGAAGAAAAAGCCTGCTGGAGGTCACTGCAACTGAGCCTTCACTCCAGTGATGTAGACTAGATGGCAGGAGATATGACATAGTGATAAAGCAAGCTTGAACTCCATGCTCCTCACATAACTGGGCACCAGTTGGATTTGGACCTTATGCCGCAGCTCCACTGGAAAAGCCCCTTCACTTGATTTTACAAAGAAATAAAATCAGCTTTGCCTGGATTTTGACCCTTTTGCAAGGCAGTGAGGTCCCAGCCTTCTTTGCAGCCTCACTCTGCGTTGAACTCCTGCCAGCTTGCTGAGTTCCCAGCATCTTGCTCCCCGCTGATCTGTCTCTCTCTCCCTGCAATCGAAGCGTAACATGGAGACTGAAAAGATCCTCAGCTTTCCAAGTGAAAATGTCAGCATGCAGAACTCCTGTCAGCTTCCCTTTTTTTCAGGAAGCAGATGCAGCAGGACTTCAAGGCAAGTCTTTGCTCTGTTGACTGCACCGAGTCAATCAAACATTTGACCTAGAAGCCTTGAGAAGTCTCTTTTTGTGGGAATTTCCAACAGCACGTTCCTCCAAGCGCAAGGCTTTTTGGCTGAATGAACTGGTAGAAAATAGGCCAAGGGTTTCAGAAAATCACCTGCAGCAAAGCCCCATCACTGCAAGGAAGAGGGATAAATTCATCCCTAGTGTCCATCTACTCTTCATTTCACTGATGGATTTTTCCTCACCCTCTGACCCTGTCAGAACAACACTGGGGATCAGTTTGGCCCCATTCTTTGAAATGCCTCATGAATGAGCCAGTCTCCTTCCATGTAAATGAGACTTGGCAGGTCTGCACTAAGTGCTTTAAAATTTTTGAGCCTGGAGGGACTGCAGGGCCCGAGGGAGCGCTAATGGGATGTAATGTAGCTTTCCACTATTGTGCTGTCAGTACAAAGTCTAGCCCAGGCCTCGCGCTGGCTTCTGCTCAGTGGCCTGTATGAAATGAGCTGTTGGTCTGATTCCTGCCGCCGATGAGTGGCTGTCCAAAGCACAAGACCACCCGATGCTGACTGGCATTGCTGTAGGCAGCAGAGGCAGCAGGGATTGAGCAGCATGGAAAATTAACCCCATTCCTTTCAGGAGATGCTCCATCCCAACTGTTTAGTGAAGGGTACCATTAGCACGACTGTGGTCGGATCCAAAACCTTCACCGCCGGCTTCAGCAGGTTTGGATTGCACCCTCTGCGGAGGAAGATCACTCTGCCCTGCCGATCCCCTATCTGCTCTCTTCTGGTTTGCTTTTCCTCTATTCTGGCTCCAGGGATGCCAGGCTTTGGTCTTAGACTATTTTTTCATTTGCCCTCTGTAGGGCACACTTCCAGCTGCCGCTGGCTTGGCGTGCTGGCCTGGACCACAGCCTCCAGTTGCATTGCCTTCACTCAGCGTTTTAGTTAGTGCCTAGTCAAACAGGTAGGGCCAGAGCGTGCTCTAATTTGCAGTCTGAATATGAGTGGAAATAAACTACAGGGCTTCTCGCTGTAACTATCCTACAAATACAGGAAAACCACTGCCTCGCAGAGCGGGAGGGCAGGATCTGTCTGTGCAGGCTTGGGGTTTGTACCTTTCCTAGACATCCGCTGCAAGGACTCAGTGTATTGGGTTAGGCAGATACCGGGTTTGATCAGCGTGGCTGTTCCTGGGGTTACACAAGGTATACGTAACCCTACATATATGTAGGGTTATACAGCGTGTATGCGCCTGCAGGGGATAAATCACCAGGACAGCAGCAGCCTGAAGACTTGTTACCTCCAAAGATCTGACATTGCAGCAAGACAGCATTTTGTGCTCACGCTCCTTATCAAAACTCAGGTAGAAGGCAATCTCTTTAGATAAAAGCAGGGACCTTCCTCTCCACCTAGAACTAACCTTCCAGAGCTATTTGGAGAACATCTTTCACAAACCTTGTTTCTGACCACGAACCTCAGATCCAAGAAGTTAAGAGTGCTGTCCTTTTCCTGGGGCTGAGTTTGGGGAGGAACGGATGGAAATGAGGGGTGTCTAACTGGTTGTATCATTAGTTTAAGAGGGTCAGTACTGGTTGCCTGATCTGCTCTGACATCTTGGCAGGTAGTTCAGCCTCTGCACTCAAATAAATGAGTGCACACGCCCTGTTCTTGGGGTTGTTGTGGAAATAAGCTTGTGAGGCATTTGGGTACCTCTGAATGGTAATGATAGAGGCTATAAATACCCAAGAATATTAAATTATGGTAGTACTTCTGAGAGTGTTTTCAGTGTGAGGCTCTCCCAGTGCTGTCTTCATTTGAAGTCTTAAATTAATCTTAAAAATATAGTGTGCAAAAGGGAGACATTTTACTTCCCTTATTATTTCATTGATGTGCAAACAGGCAGGGGATCACTAAGATTTAACCTTAAGTGTCTTACCCAAAGCCCCATAGTAAATCAGTAACAGAACTAAGAGTGAAGCTCAGCGTGCTGAGCATTCAGCCATCAGTTCAGCCTTCGCTCTTGTTAAAATGATTGTTGCTTCCTGAGGATGTGAAATAACACTGAAAATCCCATCATGGCAAGCATTCCTTGTAGTCCCATCTCGTGTTAGTTCCCGTGGGAACAGATCACACCCTGGTACGTGGATGTCAATAAGCTTCTGATTTGTCAGCACTGTAATGATGTGCCCGTCACCTCAACTGTATGACTCGGGCTGAGAGTCTCTTCTGGCCTTGAGGAGGTGCGGAGGTGAATGCTCAGGTGAACTGTGGCTTCACCATCCTGTTGAACAGAAGTCTTTGTGCGGCTGGAGAGCCTCAGCACAACGTCCCAACAACTTTCTGGGTTCTGGGTAATAGAAATTGCAGGTCTGTGGCCCTGCGAGGCCAGGCTAATTGAAGCTCAGCAGCACAAGACCTGTGAGATTTGGGCGATGGGCTGAGCTCCAAGCTCCCTTCATCCATGACTGAGGAGCTCACATGAGGGTCAGCGAGCAAGAAGCTGATTTCCAGGTTGGAGATGAAATAGCGGTCATCTTTGCATGCCATGTTACAGACAGCAGGCTTCTTCCTGGTTGGCAGTTTCCTCCTTGTTAGCATGGTTTGTTACCTGAAGTGAATTCAACAACCAATACATAGAATAGAGCTCAGAGCATAAGCATTAGTTCAGAAGAAGCAGGAGGAAATTTTCCATGTGGACAGATTATGCCACAATGGCTTAATGAAAAGTTTCCTTATATTTTTTTCTGAAGTGCTTGGAGATGACCCCAGTCAGAAATGAGACAGAAGACTAGAGGGGCTTTGGGGTTGTTCTGATGTGGCAGTTGCTATTTTAAGGTGATCCTAAGGCTGTACTGGTCACAAAAAGGACTGAAAAATTCTTGTGGCCACCCAAGACACCCTCATATGTAGGGTTCTTTTTCCTGGTAGTGCTAGGGATATAACTGAAGGGCCATCCCTAGGAACTTTGATCAATGTTTTTGATCCTCTTGTTCACGTTAAGCACCTGCTAGAGGCTGCCAGGAGAATGGACTGGAGATAGACAGTGAGCTGCTAACAGTGGGGTTTGTATTGCAGAGGCAAGGCAGCCACTCAGACTGAGTGAGCCCAACCCTGCAAGCAGCCACCATGCTCATTTCATTGCTCGGTGCTGCTAACCCCCTTGCTCTGAACATTTTCTGCCTTTGTTGGCTCTGTGGGCATAACCACAACTGAGCTCACTGCTCAACGAAGAGAAGGTTCTGGAGTTCTGTCACCTGAACTTCCTGGGCATCTTGTTGTCTCAAATCCTTCCGTCGCCCATGGAGAAGGGATGACGTCTTAGGAAGTCAACTCATTCTCCCCTAAGATAGGAGGAGGACTAGATGATCGTTGGTCCCTTCCAACTGAAATATAATACAATATTCTATTCTATTCTATTCTATTCTATTCTATTCTATTCTGTTCTGTTCTGTTCTGTTCTGTTCTGTTCTATTCTGTAGGTTTACACAGCATGCACGTTTACTTTCCTCTGGAGGTGCCTAGATTGTTGACATTTGGTGGTGTACAATGGCTGACTCCTTGCCGTGGTGTGGCTAGTTACTGAGCTGGGGCCAGCTCTTGTTTCTTACTGGAGTAACGTTAATGCTTTGAAGAGGTCCCTCACAGTAGGGGCATTGCCCGTGGCTTATTAGTCTGGACCATAACCTGCACATGTTTTCCTGCCAGTATTTTCTTCCAGTTTCTCATGACAGCGCATTTAAGCCATGTCCTCACTGTGTCTTGGTCCAAAGCTCATTGCAGATTTGGAAAGGCCCCTCCTGGCTTCCTTCAGATGCTAGAGATGGTCTTTAGCCTTTGGGCTTTGTATTTTATTATGTTGGCATTTCTGAAGGTTTCTTATTGTATGTGGTAGCACAGTGACTCCATACATAGTTTGTTTAAGGGGGAAAAATGTGCATGGCAAAGCAAGGAAAATAGCAAACAACAGGAAGCGATGCCAGAATTGTACCCACGTAAGGATGTAAAAAGTGCAGCAGTGAATACCGTGCCAGATTGCTTCTATTCTTGTAAAATAATTCAGGTTTGCTGCGGAGGCCTGTTTCCTGCCACAGCAAAAGGACTTTTTCCTTCTGTGAGCTTTAAAGAAGTGCTAGATCATTACTAACTCCTGTGTCCATGTCCAGTCCAAGATTCATGCTGCAAGAAGCCTGAGTGAGATTGCGATTGACCTGACCGAAACTGGAACGCTCAAGACCTCAAAGCTGGCCAACATGGGGAGTAAAGGCAAAATTATCAGCGGCAGCAGCGGGAGTCTTCTGTCATCAGGTAGGTCCTTTATCCTGTAACTGGAGAGAATACGGTGGGAAGGGCCGTGGCTGTGGTATAATGGGGAGCAGCCAGAAGTTGCACTGCAGCAATGAAAGTCACTTCCCTTTAGCCTTTCTGTCTGTCCAGGTGTCAGTCTGTCTCTCAGCACGTTGCCCCACAAACAGCACAGGCAGCAGCCTCCTCCTCTCTCATTACCGCTGCTCGTTTCCTCTTTGGCCCCGGGATGTCATCTCCAGCCTCTCACTTTCCAGCTGAGACCTGGTCTGTCTTCGCAGTTTCTACCATAATCACTCCTTGGCACCCAGCAAATCCCTAGGCAAATGCATTTGTGAAGGAGCCCTCAACCAGCAGTGAGGAAGCAGTCAGCCAGTGCAGCTCACTGGGGAAACTGAGGCTGGGAATTGGTGATGTCCTTCAGCAGTGTTGAGGCAGGGTGGCTTCTTCACAGAGCACACATCTGCTTTACCTCTCTGTTGCTGGAATTTGTCTGGTGTCCCAGGCTCAAAAGAGCTGTTCCCTGGCACTCTCCACCATACTAGTGTGGGGACCTAGAGGTTTCTTTTTGCGGCTTAGAGCACATTCCTGTTATGAGGAAGACATAATCTGTGAAAGAAACCCAAGAGACGTTGATATGGAGGAGAGCTAGAGCATCAGAAGAGAAGGACCAGGGAAGAGGAGTCAGGAACTTGTCTGTATTTCTTTGAAAGTCTTCTGTCAGTCTGAACGGGGCAAGCTGTGTGTAAAACAGTGCTAAGCGTCACTCCAGGAGCAAAGCGAGGTTTGATAGTTTGCGAAGAGCTTGAAGCTGCTCAGGTAAGAAGCTCTTCAGGAGGGCAAAGTTGCTGGTATCACTATAATTAACAGTTCCAGTCAATTAAATGCCCTCTGTTAAGTGTCATGTCAAGTCATCGAAAACCGTTGTTCTGAGATAACACCAGAGAATAACCTCCTCATGCTTGACAAGGGAAGAGTCCATCTAAGAACACACATGCTTTAAAACTGAACGTACGCTGGTGTAGTAGATCAGCTTTGCATCACTGTATCCTTCATCTCTCTTAAAAGCCACCCTCTCCTGCCTGGAAAATGTCCAGCAAGGGGTTAAAATAAGCAGTGCTTACAGAGCTGCAGAGCAGCCTGCTGTGCAATTCCTTGCCTTGCCTGCAAACAGAGATGCCTTTCTGCTCCTTAGATCCTCCTGAGGAAGTGTACAATCCACCGTCTGTGCCTCCCATCGCTTAGGGAGTTGCAGTAGCTGAGCAGCTCCCAGACTGGTGTCGGGTTGTTGGAGCTCTTTGTTTGTTTGGCATTTTTTCCAGCTCCCCTGCTGGAAGGTAAATAACATTAAGTACCCCAAGGAAGTTCTTAAGGTCTTTCCAAGATCTCAGCCTCCTGGGCACCATTCCTAAGTTTGTGAGAGCTACTTGGTAGTAATCCTGTTTTCATATTAATACACTGACTTTTCCCCTTCCAGGAAAAAAACATGGGGGTCTGCTTCTGCTCTCACACTGGGAGAGCAGTAGCCAGGTGAAAGCCAGAAGAAAATCAGGCCCAGAAAAGCTTCTGTAGGGCCAGCACCTATCAGGGTTACGGGGATGGAAATACCAAACTGGGAGCTGCCCATGCTCTTATTTCTATATTTTTTTGCTCCCTGCTCAAATCCCTTCTGGCTGAGCATGGGGTTTGCAGACTCAGCAGAACTGCACTAGTGACTAGACCTGTGCAAAGTTCATTGACCAGGTGAGTCATTTCTTCAGGCCTGGGTAGGTGGATCGGTCTACCTGGACGCCTACGTAGGACTCTGTGAACCTCAGTTCCAGTCGAGGTGCTGCTGGTGGGCCAGGCGAGCATGGCTCCCTCCAGGTTCCTGTGTTCAGAGCTGCCTTTAGGTCCTACCAGCTGTGAGGACGGGGCTCTCCTCAAAATGTTAAGGAGAGCTGTGGGGTTTGCTGCTGCTGTGTGCCTTCCAGCAGCTACAAGGAAGCATAGAGAGAAGTTGTCTGGCAGAGGAGGACAGATACCAGGGAACTGGAGACCCTGAATTGCTTCCACACAGTCACCCAGACCCCTCTACTCCAAGAGCCCCTTCCCTCGAGCCCGGCTGGCAGAGGTGACCCAGCCCTGTCCCACTGGACGGGAGAGGGCATTCGCTGCCTGCCCCGCTGGGCACAGCCACTGGCTCCGTCCCGGCCTTTGCATTTCCTCCCATTGTGCCAAAGATTATCGGCACCCAGTCACAACAATGATGGGTTATCGCGGCACAGCCTGCGCGCTGGAGAGAATAAGTGCAAATGATTAAGTGGCCGCAGTAGGTTTCCAGGCTATAAATACCCAGAGTGACTCAAAATCACAAGGGCAGGACTGAATCTCTGTTTGCCCCCACTTCCCTACTGTTCTCAGTCCTTCTGTCCTGGAAATTACTTGTAGCCATTTCCTCTCTCCATCCCACTCCTCCTCACTGAAGGGGCTATCAGTGCCACGAGGAGCAGGCCAAAGCTGACATGTCTCCCCTGGGATTGCAGCAAGGCTGCAAGGAAATATTTGTTGTTGCTTCCAGCTGTCACACTGTCTGGCCAAGATCCTGCTGTGCAGTGCAAGACAGTCGCTGCCCCACATCATTTACAGTCTCAAGACACAGCAGAGGGGAGATGTGACTGGGGCAGTGACTCTTCCCCATGGTCACAGCAATTCAGGGCCAAAGCCTAAGCTCCTCCATGTTTCCCAAGCCCTCGATCTCAGTCTGTGTCCACTGCAGAGTTGTAACTTTGATACTTGAGGCTCCCAGGTGCCTTTCTGACAAGCTTGCTCTTTAACTTTTTTCCTCATTTTGGCTCTGAAGGCAGCCCCCAAAACAGTGGGCTGCTGGGATTTAGCTCAAGGATCTTCTGCTCAGGATCTCTGGGCCATCCCTGGACATCTGGGGCAAGATTTGCCCAGGAATAAAAGCTCCACTTTCACACTGGCATGAACTCTAATCAAAGCCAGCAGAGATAATTATTGGAGCGAAATCAGGTTAGGTCTAAGGTGGATTTTTTCTTCAGTCTGTCCCCTAAGAGCTCTGAAGGACTCCTGGCTAGTGAGGAGCCCTGTTATTGCTGGGTTATTGTTGGACTGAACACCAGACCACCTTCTTCATCTCAGTGGGCAGAGGAGAGACCACAGAGGAGCGCCTCTGCCTTAGCTCTGCAGACACGTTCGAGGAGCCTCCGGCCCCCCAGGCCCCGTTCCTTCATTAGCGGTGGAGGTTTCCTGTGCAGGGGCCTGTTTACGTTTGAAAATGCCACGACAGAGCCCAGCCAGCCGGTTCCCTGGCCCCCGCCGCTCCATCCGGCAGGGCCATCTCCCAGCTGGACCTCCCCAGCGGGCGTTGGAGCGGATAAACAGCACCCGCACAGCCTCCAGCACGACCTGCGAAGCCGAGTCGCCCACAGGATAACTGAGCGCATCCTGTGCGGAGCAGCTCCAGCTGGGCTCCCGCGCGCCGCGGAGGATATCCTATTTGTCTGGCAGAGACAAGAGATAGCGGCCGTCGGAGGTTGCTGGCTGTTGTGCGCTGACATCCTGGTGCAGTGAGTCATCCCGAGCTCTGGCATGGAGCAAGCCTGGGGGGACCTCCCCTCCCGGTTCGGGGGACAGCCTTCCACGGGGACCTCAACCAAACGCCGGCGAGCTGGAGCCGGCAGATGGATGTAGCGTGGAGGGTTCACCGTATTTAGAGGTGCTTCAAAAGCTATCCAAGGAGATTACATATTTAAGCAACATTTCCCTGGTTTACCGCATTAGGAATTAGCCCTAATTGTGGGAGATAAAATACCTGAGCAAGCCTCCCAGTCAACCATTTCTGTCGCAGCAGGAGTCTGTCATGTTAGGACTGATGTTTCAGGACTGATTTTTCTCTGTTGATGATTCCCTTTGGAAGGCGCTGGGCAGCCATGACTCAGTGAGCATCATATTTAATAAGGCTGATTTAAGGTAGTATCTGCTTGATTGGTTTGGTTTGTGCTGGTCTTTGGTTATTTCTTTGGTTGTTTTTATGGTCTTTTGATTTGTTCTGACATTTTTGGGTCAGTCAGCACTGGGTTTAGAAGTGGGTCTGTGGTCACAGCCTTGCTTAAGGCTGGATTAATACATATTTATAAATAAAGAGCTTCTAATGGAAGCTGTAGGCACCCCAGCAATACAAAGCACTGTTCTCTGCTCCTTTACAAGCATCTTGCATGGGCGTGATTCTCTTGACTGATCAAGTTTCCGTTTGCTTTTCACCTGTGAGAAAAAGCAGAGAATCCAACCCATAAAAATCTAATAATACACCCCAAAATAGTTAAGCTTTTTTTAAAAAAAGCTAGAACAGAACAGTTTCTGAAGGAGAAGCTTCAGGAAGGTCTGAAGAAATAAGTAAGTCCTGCAGGATGCCCAAGGGATCATCCAAGTCAGGTATGGTCAAGATAAAAAAATTCAGCATCACAAGCCATGAACTGAGCACCCTGTCCCCTGGCCTTTGAACCCTCGCAATGCTAGAAGAGTTTGTGACGAAAAGACACACTTGAACCAGTTCAAATCAACCTTTTCCATCAGTGCCAAGGAGTGGTTGCCTTTGGTTTCAGCAGTAATCCCATTCCTTAACTCAGAATGTGACAACGCGCTTCCAGATCTCCCCCAATTCCTTTGCTTTCTGGGAGGGGTGAAAAAGATGGCAAAATGTGCACTCACTGGACGCTGTCACCGGCCGCATCAGGGTTGAGACCAGCATGGTTCTCACACAGGGTGAGCAAAGCTGGAGCAAACGCCGTGAACTGTCTGTGCTTGATTTGGGTCCGTACCAGCTCAGCCAGAAGCCATTCGTTTCCTTCTTGTCGGCACACCCCGAATCAGCTCAGGCATCTGGCCAGGGCTGAGGCTATTCATCTGCTTTTAAATGTTTCAGCATCTATGTAGCTGCTGTGGCAACCCGCAGTGCAAAAACGAATAGCTTTTAAAAATAAATCTGAGGCTGGTGTGGAGGTAGGGAGCAGAGAGAGGAAGGAAAGGGGAAGAGCAGTTGAAAGGAAAACGTAGGTCATTAAAGTTGTCCTAAAAGGAAAAAAAAAAAAAGGTTGAAACATCTGCTGGAATCATGAGCAACTTTTTACCAGGACTCAGCAGTTTGTTGACAATTTAGTGAAGAAATTCGGCAGTTGAGTTTTTGCTAGTAACTGCTCACCAGGTTGCTATTAAGAATTACTAAATGCTAGAGAGGGCTTTCCCTAACAGTGCAAATACAAGGCTCCTCTAGAAGATCCTGTCGAGTTCTCGCAGCACAGATGTGTTTGCAGAATTGAGTTTTGTTGCTCTATGAGGGCAAACCCCAATGAAATGAGGATGACTACAGCAACTAAACAAACATCTTACCATGAAGCTGTCCTCCTTTATCTGATGATGCTCAACCTGGCTGACCTTTAGAGAGCCCTTTTTCCACCTCCCCCACTCCAGGACAGCCCAAGAAAAGGTGTAACAAAGGGGGGTGGCGTTTCACAGAATTAGTGCCAGTTGTCTTCCTGTAGGAAAGCTGCAGAAAATAGTGATGGAAAAGATCTGTGAGATTCTCTGCTCCCCCTGGGCCAGTGCAGAGCTGTTTCATGGCATGTGTTGCCTCAGTCCTCTTTCAGTTTAGCTTTAATAGTCTGGTGGAATAGTAGCAATGAAAGATGAAGCTGAAAGCACAAATTTCACTCTGTTTTGCTGCCAAAACAAAGAGTTGTTCCCAGGTTCCTTCCAGAGCTCTGTGAAATGGCGGCAACGTTTTCAACCTCCTTGGGCTGAACATCTTCACTGTAGGCTTGGAGGCCAAGCTGCAAATGCATCTGGAAACCCCCTCTCACCCCTGTCCTACAGGTGCACAGAAAACTCTATGTGGCGTCCTGTTGTATCTGACTCCTACAGATAATAAAGGCCTGCTTTCTCTGTGCCATTGCTTTAGAGGGGCAGGGGAGCCTCTCATAGTCACCCTGGGACAGTGGGTGCTGAGACCACTGAGGAACCACTGAGGACTAGGAGGAACCCCCTTGAAAGCATTGCCAAGTCAAAGGCTTTTCTGCAGGCATAAACCTACGGTACCCCACAAGAAGTCCCCACAAAGCACTGGGCACAATCTGGCTGTCTAAACGTAGGTGTGTGGTGCCGGTTTAGGTGGGTTAGAGTATCCCACTGCCAGTCCAAAGGAGCGTGGGTCTCACAGGGTCTTGGATCATATCTGCCACCCCATGGAAGACATCTCAGATACTTACATCACCTAGACACTTCTGTTGAGGCAACAGCAACCCCTTAGCCACAGCAGCCCTGTCCGTTCAGCCCAGCTCAAGACCCACTATCCCATTAAAAACGGATCAGATGCAGACTGAGGCTGAGCTCCAGAGCTGTGTGTGGGGCAGAGCTTTAGAGTGTGTGGAGCTGTAGCTCCCATGTCGTCTGTGGACAGACATGGGACGCTCCTGCTTTCCTGTAAACCTAAGGTGGATGCTTTGAACTACAGCTGTAGCTAAACAACAGCCAGTAATACAAGTGAAAAGTGTGTAGAGATGGCATTTACCCCTTCTTGAGCTTGCTTTTTGTCTCACAGTACGGCCATAACCTTCGTGTCCTTACTCTGTGATGAAAGGATGCACTCGGCTTATGCAAACGCGGGGTTTAGAGGGAAGTAGTGGCTTTGCTATAAACTCATCCCTGAGCCCAGAGGTGCATTAAAGAGGTTAAATGCTAAGCACATCCTGAAAAATCAGCTACTCAAGTTGGGGACCCCAAAATGGATGCAACCAACATCGCTCCTTCTTTGAGATGCTAGATCTTGGATAGCAATTGATGCACCACCCCAAACTAAAATAAAATCAGGAACGCCATCAGTAAGTTCCCCTAAAGAGCTGAAGTTACAAATGCTGTCATGACATCTGAGCAACAAAGTCTGAATTAATGCATGGACTCACTTCAGTGGAAGTTGCCGGGTACTTGCCACTTGAAAAGTCAAGCCATTTGGACATCCAGTTTAAATATTTTGACCTACTTCTTCACAAGAAACAGCTACTGTCCCAGAAGGACCTATGGGTTATTGTTGTTTTGGTGTATTTTACAGGAATCGTGGTAGGTAATTTTGTTCCATTACATTTCTTCATAAAACAGGCACTGTAAGTGGATTGAATTAAATGTTGGCCACTAGGATAATAGCAGTTCTTAAGAAGTAGGCCGTATTGTCAAATGGTTTCTCCTAGGCTTAATTTCCCAAAAATGCACCTCCAGGGCTTCATAAACTGTACTGTTATTTGCCATTGGGAACTTTCATGGGAACGGTATGTCTTTTTTTTTCTAGGATCTTTACATGAATAATTTTGTTGCTTTTATTTTTCTGGATAATGATTACAAATGTCTTTGTGTGTGCCCCACTGTCCAATCTCTCTGTTAGCTTAAACATTAAGAATTTGCTGTAAACAAACATGACTGGGTAACACCTGCTTCATGTCATAGTCTGATTTCGTTTTGGAAGGACTGCATCCAGGCCTTGGTAAAATTACAAGCACTCCAGATGTGTATTCTGCTGTCAGCTGGCCTAGTGAAATCATTGTTTATTGATAGGTTCCCAAGAGTCAGATAGTTCTCAGTCTGCCAAGAAAGACATGCTGGCTGCACTGAAATCCAGGCAAGAAGCTTTGGAAGAGACACTGCGCCAACGCTTGGAAGAGCTAAAGAAACTGTGTCTCCGAGAAGCGGTAGGCAATGGACATTTTATAACCTGTAACACTTTGTTGCTTGCATTGTTATAGCGTGCTCGTTGTTTGGAGGTGGTGTGGAGTGAGGAGAAGAGATTTCTTCCACAGTCACCTCTTGCAAAGCCCATTGAACAAAGGCCTCAGGAAGGTCCAGCTGTTTCAACTCCAGATTGCAATGTCACAGGACATTTTCCTCCCAGAGAAGGGGACCCCATGTCAGTTGGGTACCCGGTTGGCTTGGGGCTAGGAGGGTGCTCAGCATCCATGTCTGCTGTTTGAAATTGTGTTTAAGATGCATTCAGCCAGGCGTCTTATTGACTTTGGTGGGAATATGCAGCTACCTAAATGGCATAAGAAGGCTGTCCTGTGTACTGGTAATCACTTCTCAAATGCTTTTGACTTCATTAGCAAAAAAAAAAAACCCAGGTTCACACACTTTTATCTTGGAGCAGGCCTGACCTTACATGCTTTTCTTCTCCCAGCACATTCTTGCATACAGCACACAAGGTCTTATCTGCTCCATGTAGACTCCCTTCATGCAATAAGCTCTGGCACTCCTGGAGAGGAATGGCAGTGTGGTGGCAGACCTTGCGAAGAGGAACCACTATGGTCATCACAAGACAGGCAGGACAGCTCAGGAACTCATCTCATAACCTTCCCACTCACTTTCCAGTTCATTCTTGGAGTACACAGGAGGCCAGTTTAGAGAGCAATTTAATGTTTGGGGAAATCACAGTCCTGCTGCAGATGTGCGCGGAGATTAGCAGCAGCGTACACTTGGGTCATTCAGCAATTTTCCTTTGTTTACCAGCCCTGAAAATCTGAATTTAACAACAAATCGTGATGTGTAACACAACAGGAAGCTGGCTGCAGACAGTGGCACTGAGATCTTCCAGTTGTTGTTTAATATTCGATGTGTATCTCGCCTTTGACAAAAATGGGGGAAATAGGTCACTGATTCAGCTCTCATTGCACTTTGTTTCAATTAGTCTATACTTTTAACACCAACAAGAATAAGTGGTGGAAAATACCTCTCAACAAAGCAAGTCAAGAGAAATCTCTGCTGCCCCAGTTCCCATCCTTCACTCCACATGAGCAATCCTTTCCCTCCTGGGAAGTCCTGGTTGACTTCAGCAAACAACTTGTGCTGATAAAGGTCGCGGTACCAGATCCAGTCTCGTAAGTCCATTGAGTACAGAGCTAAGATCATCTGCAGGAAGCAGTCACACGCTCTTCAGGGGCGGATGGACAGGGTCTGCAGGGCTCTACTGGCCCTGGAGGAATTTAACACCCTAAGCTAACGCCTGACGGCCGATGACTAATGCCCTGCAGCAGCACCCGTGCAGGGGAAGATGCGCCTGTGCCACAGTTGCAGGAGCTCACAGCCCAGTGCCTTCACTTTAACTCCAGCCCCATCTGCAGTGCAGCCTCAGGCACTTTGCAAGCAACTGGGATGCAGGCAAAAGCTCCCGCTGGGGCATGGAGCCAGTGGTAAGGAACAGTATCTCCTTAACGTGCTGCAGCAAGGCTGGCCAGAGCCCATCTGTCAGCACCTTAAGAGCTGGTAGAAAGTGTTCGTGCTTTCTGTAGATGATCCAAGAGAGGCAATTGATGGACACTTGGAATCTGACCCTGTCTTGCAACCCTACATCTCATCCATCAGCAGCCTCCAGTTGGAAGTATTTCCTCCCAGCCTGCCCTTCGTCCTTTCTGCTTTGGCATGGGAATGGCCAAAACAGAGGGAGAAGGCTGCAAACGGGGAGATAAAAAAGGGTTAAAAGTGGGGGCATAATCAAATAAGCATGGCCAGAGCCATTCATAACAGTGGCATCAGGTTACTTCGGGCCATCACTACTCCAGTTACTTATTAATTTAGATTACGTTTCAGGACCGTGCCTATGAATACTTTTCAGTTTATGGAGGCAGCATGGTAGCCCACATTAATTTTGTTCTGCTCCAGTGTTGGGCATTTTACAGAAGATATTAACTCTTTAATATAAAGTTAGGGGTTATAAAGAAAATATCCTTGTTCCCCTCGGGAAAGGATACAGGAATCTGTTTCTTGATGCAGTGCTTAGAGCCACATCACACTAGAAGGAACGCATTGCAGAAGAAAAGCTGACATAACTCCACAGGGCTGGAGGGGCAAGGCGGAACGGGACTCATGAGACATTGCAACAGTGCCTCTCGCAAAAGGGGGTTGTGTGCGTCGGCAGAGAGCTGTGCTGCAAACCCATTTTGCTGGGAACTGCTTAAAGGAAGGATTTGAAAAGGCCAGGTCCTTGTTTCCTAGTGACCTGAAAAGAGGAGAAAGAAAAACCCCATTAGGGAGCGGGGGAGAGGCCAGGGCAGGCAGGGGCCTGAGCTGCACACTTGCATTAAGGTCAGCTGCTGTTCTTTGGGATTCAGATGATTTAGGTTACTCTGCCAGCTGGATCCTCTCAAGGCTGATGCTAAGGAACACAAAAGCCTTTTGTCCTTCGTGGGCAGACTTCTGAGTACAAGGAGTCGGGCTGTGCTCGTAGTGAGGCTCCTGCCTTTTTCTGTAGGCATTTGAATGCCTTCAATTCAGATATGTGTGGCTGTATTGTGTAGTCCAGGGAAAAAAAAAAAAAAAAAAAAAAAAAAAAAAAAAAAACAAACCCAGAGCATTAACATCAATATTGGCGCTTGCTGCTTCCTGTGTTCCAGATATTCTGCAGTTCTGTGGGGTTTGCTTCAGATTTTGAATAAATCTTTGCAAATGACCCCATGACTCTGACAAAGCATCATCTGCTATCGCTCCAAAGCTGCCCATGACATCACCAGGGTTTGCAAGGGGCTCTGATACATGAAGTGTTAGCAGACAGGTAATGAGGTACCAGGCACTGCTTTTAGTGGCCATTTTCAGTGCATTCCTCTCAGACACATCATGAATCAGGTGGGAATGTTTTTCTGTGCGGGTCATAACCTGCATGGCTGTTGCCAGTGGGGCTTTCTGACTCAGCAGACCTGCATCCTGCGTGAAGGCTCTTGGATCTGCTCACCCCCTTCTCAGAAGTAGCTCAGCAGATAGAAGCTCCTCTTTCCTGCTCACCCTGCAGCAGAGATGAAAGCCATGTGTGCTGCAGTCTGTTCAGCCCCAGGCCCCAACGCCCTAGGGATGGGCACCACCTACAGACCTACCCTGGGCAGGCCACAAAAATCTGTATTCATGCACAGGTTAAAGAAAAGTTACCCACCCTCAGTGTCAGGTCCTGGGACGCGTTTGCGGGGCTGGGTGCTCTCCTGTACATTTATCAGCTGGCTGAACTGGGTATGTTGTTAATGAACGCCTGTCATTTTATGGTCACAGTTCAAGAGCAGTGTTGCGCTTTGCTCTGCTGCAGGATTTCCCAGATCACTAACAGCATTTTCTGCTTACAGGAGCTCACAGGAAAGCTGCCACGAGAATACCCCCTAGATCCTGGGGAGGAGCCGCCTATTGTAAGGAGAAGAATAGGAACTGCCTTTAAACTGGATGAGCAGAAAATCCTGCCTAAGGGAGAGGTGAGGCTGTGCCCTTCCCTTCCAGCCCCATGTCCCCACCTCGGGTCGCTTAAGACATCCAGCATGCATCACATAGGAACCATCAGTCTTACAGTTATTTTTGCTTTAAATGACTGTAGTTGGTCACAATGCCTTTTTTTTTAATATCCATCAGGACAGGGAAGCAGCAAGAGAGTTGGTGCTCTTAGTTCAGACTCGGAGTAAAGGTTAAACCCTCAGAGTTCAGCCCTGGCTTTGCTAGAGGTAACAGAAATAGCCTGGGTGACCAACAGGACCATGACAGTCCAAGCGCTCTGGTGACCAAGTGCAGTGACTTGTGTGAGTAGGGAGCACATCAGGAGCCCCTTGAGCCATCTGAGCCCTGCTGCTGCCCTGTGTCGTTATTGCAAACAGCCACTTGCTTTCCTTTTCAGTAGGAATCCAAATTCAGATCTCTCCTAATGAAGAGAAAAGCATCACAATTATCCATCTTAGCCCTGCAATAACAAGATGAAAGCATTTTGCTCCCCAGTCCTTAAACAAAAGAGCCTTCGTCCCTACCTATGGGGAGCTGGAATTATGTTTTTCTAAGTTTGCCAGGGAGTGTTTGTTCTCTTCCCTTGCTCCCACAATGTGCTGGGTCAGTGCCCTGAACTGTGGCTGTGAAAACAGGCCTGCAGCAGCTGTAAGGCGGGACTGGACTCACAGAAAAGCTATTGTCTGCAGAGACGCATTTGTCTCAAGACACTTGTGTATATTCCAGTCTTGAGTTCCCTTTTTATTTTTGTAAGAGGAGAGACTGAAGCTGGTGTGACTGTGCGGTTTAAGGCTCTGTTCAGCCAGGGAATTAACTGTTTGTCGTTTTGTTGGCATTTTCCTTCTGCTGAAAAAATAAACAGCTGGAGTTCTTTAGTTTTGTTCTCAATGGAGCCTGGGAGAGGAATTCCACCAAAGTCAAATATTCATGAACTAGCACATTTAATTAAGCTTTTCAAAGGGAAGCATGGCTTAGCTGAGTTACTCCTAAAACCCCTGCAGTCTGTTGGCTGCTCAGTTATAACCTGATCTCCAGCTTCCCGGATCTTACTGCTACAAGGCAGCTTTTGGGGCCAGCGGGTGAAGAATCTCCTTACTCCAGTGGCAGGGTTAGGTGGGGAGAGCGTGAAGGTAAAGCAGCTCCTCCCCATCACAGGCACTCTGCCTTTTGGCATCGGCAATCCAAACACGCTGACTCAGCTTTTCTCTGCCTCCCTTTTCATCTGTCAGACTTTAAGACTGTGTTGAAAACCATAAATTTTGGTTCTCGAAGAATGATGTTGAGCTTTGTTTATTTGGCTGCCAGTTTGAGAGCATTTAGAGAGGCCAGCGATGATTTTCATGCGCTTTTCAGCAAGTGCAAACACTAGAAACTCGATTTAAAACAAAAGGTGAAATACTCCCTCAGTCACGTAAATCCAGGACTGATATTACCAACTGTGACAAGGACCTGAAGCAAGACACTTCCATCCGAAGGCATATGATAGCCCTCAGTTTCTGAGGCTTTATTTATAGTGGCCTCACTGGAAGAAAATAGACAATTATTGCCAGAAGGAGAATGAGTATGTTTTTTCTAAGATATACTGAATGATTTAGAACTGAATCTGGCAAGGTCTGAAATGACAGCTCACATCAAACTCTCCGTACCTCTAGTAAGAGCTTTGTCAGAGCAAGACTTGCAGGGAAGGGTCCTATTGTATTTTTTGGTAATCACCTCTACCGGGTCTGTAATTCCTGACTCTGGGAAGGATTTTGCCAGAAGGCAGTGAACCAGGTTCCAGGCCTTAAAACTCCATGGTGTCAAATTCACTTTTAATAACTTTGGCGCTGATAGAGCTTATAAACCCTTCAAAGCAAAAAGGGATCTGTTAAAAAGATGGGGGGTGGGCTCAGTCTTCAGTGAAGTGAGGGAAATGATAATTATAGATTTAAGGCAATGCTGACTCACCACTGACAGCAAAGGGATTTTTTTTAAGCCGGAAGCCCAGAATAAGAGCTTCAGAGAACGACTTCAGTCTGATTAATTCCCACAGCATCAGCTATTGCAGCATACACCACTGCTAAATGAAGAGAAAGGATTTGAATTTGCGTAATGAGGATCTCCATGAATATATGGCTGTCAGTGCTTGCAATCTGAACTCCCACCATTCACTAGGAGTAAAAAACCTCATCATTTTTTCCTCTTAATTTGCAAGGTACTGTGTTCCCCTTTCTAGCAGAGTAACACCAAAAACTCCATCAAGCTGGGGAAGGTAGCCAGATCCGTTGCAGATCAGCAAGTACCTCACAGCTTGGCATCCTGGTGCAGACCAGGAAGCTCTATATCAGCTTCTGCATTGGCATCAATTGGCCTAAATCCCTTGGCTTTGGAGGATAACTAAAAATCAGTAGGTAGCTTCCAGGGTACACCTGGTTGCATTTAAGAACTCAGCTGAGACCCTGCAAGGGCTAATGTTGGAGACGCTAGTCCTTTTTGGCACACAGAAAGGTTTCTGTTACACACTGCTCGCTCTGAAATCACCCTCCTGGCTTGTAACTCGAGGAGACAATTTTCTGGTGCAATCAGTTGCAGCAGCCCATAATTACTTCAGCACATACACTCTCCACTTGATTTTGACAGCCGTACACCAAGGAAGAATTAGCCCATCTTTGGCTTTTTTACTCCAAAGAGTTTGGTGGGTGCCAAGCAAACCTGTCAAGAAGGTTAAAGCTGTAGCTTTGCATCAGTACATAGCACTGATATCAAATGGGGCTCAAATATGGAGATAGGAAACAGGGAGAAGGAGCGGGTGGGAGGCAGGTGTTACCCATAAGATGGGTGTAAAAGGATGAACGTGTCAGCAGTAGAGCACTGTTGAACGAGGCCATATTGAACTGCATGAAAAGCCAAACAGCACAGCAGGGTTAGGGCTGGAGCACACATGTCATCCTTGTATGGGCCATCCCTTCCACCAGCTTTGCTCCCAGGCACTCGTGTGAGCAGATGAAGGTGAGGTGGGTATGCTCAGGGAGGCCCTGAGATGGAAGGAGCATCATGATCAGGGATGCTTTGCTGATGGCAAGCCTTGGTTGGAGGCCACTGGCCACGTTCAGGGGGAGCTTCCCCATAGCTGGGCCAGGAGAGTTTGGTGGTAGCCAGAATCCACTTGCCTTTCCCCAGGAGGCAGAGCTGGAGCGCCTGGAGAGGGAGTTTGCCATTCAGTCCCAGATCACGGAGGCTGCCCGGCGCCTGGCGAGCGACCCGAACGTCAGCAAAAAGCTGAAGAAACAGAGGAAGACATCCTACCTGAACGCCCTGAAGAAACTGCAGGAGATCGAAAACGCCATCAATGAGTATCGCATCAAATCTGGAAAGAAGCCAACCCAGAGAGCCTCCCTGATCATAGAGGGTAAGCGGGGCTCAGTGCCCACGGCATTGCTGAAGGGTCTGTGGAGGGCAAGGAGCAAAATTCTTGCCTTGAACTCGTGTCTTGAGGCACAGATTTCCCCTCCCTCCTCTTCCCTCTCCTGACTCCACGGGTGCTGGCAGTTGGGTTGTCCTCTCCTGTACCAGCGTGCTGTCAGATGGGTGTCTGGGCTGTGTGCCGTGCGTTAGGGATGTGCTGGTTCACAGCACAAGAAGCAGTGTCACGCTGTAGATTATAAGCGTGTCAGGAAAGCAGACTGTGACTCCTTTGTTCACCTATAAAATCACTCTGTTAACGTCTCCTCCAGAGTGGTGCTGTACAAATGTAATTAATGTTAGCAGATTGGGGTGAGCTCCCTAGCTGAAAGGCATCTGTAAAATCAAAGCGTTAGAAGTGTCGCTGCTGTGTTCAAATTTTTCTTTTTTTTTTACAATGTAATTCTCAGGGCACTTTATGGTTTACTGGGTTGTTGATTGGTTTTTCATGAAATCCATTAACTTTCTGCTGTGGTTCTTTCTCCCGTGCTGATTTTGCCCTTTCCCTTTGACTTGCAGAGCTTTTCTCTGTGCCTTTGTAGCAGGAACTGAGATTAGAGCTGCTGTATTTGTGACCTGGGTACCAAGCTGCACTGCAGTCAGGGATAACAGACAGCCGTGAGGACACGGGATAGGGGAGGCAGCTCAGACGTGTGCATGCCAAGGACGTGAGAGCGTCTCCTGCTGCTACAGAGGATGCTCAGACAGCGTTTCCCTGAATTACACAAAACTGGTACCTAGTATGGGCTTTTAGTTAGCAACAGGATGATCATTTTAAGAAGGCAGAGATCAAACCCTGAGTCCTTAAGGCCCGAGATATAAATCTGGCTAATGGCACCGTGCCGTTTTCCATCCTCTGGGGATCCCAGCGTTCCGTTGTGACTCAGTCTTAATCCCCATTAATTGAAAAGAGTTAGCAGCTCCTGGAAAGGCAGCCTGCTGGTGACAGACCTGGCCTGCAGCTCTGCCCTCGAGACTGAGAGTGGGCTGAGTCAGTTGTTTATAGGAATCTTGCCTCTCGGCTATGTGAGGAGGAAGACGTGGGTGACTGCTTAAGGCTAAGACTCAGTGGACGAAGGTCACAGAGCAGTTCAGCACTGTGATTCTTGGGACCATCTGACCATCTTTATATTTTCTTCCCCTCAGAAGGAAACATTGCCAGTGAAGACAGCTCCCTCTCGGATGCCCTTGTTCTCGAGGATGGTATGTTGGCTGCTGTATGTTCTAGGGGGCAGGAAGGAAACGTGGGAAGGATGTGTGAACTCCTGATTTACACTCAAAATGGAGGAACTGTTCTGTGTAATAATCCACCCAAAATTCCCAGTACCAAAAACGCTCCGGACTGAGAGCGGTTTCCCCTGACTCTAACTTGTAGTCAGACATCAGGCCTGGAGCAGGGAGCATTGCCATGGTTACTGCTCTGAATTCTTTCAAAAGACAGTCTCACAATGCCCCCTTATTTTCTCTTAAGGTTTCAGTTGTTTTAATGCATCACACACTCTGGCTTGCCATTCCCTCCCAAAATGGGAATGTCAGCCGATGCACTTCTGAAAGTCGGGTCTTCAGGTTGCTCCTGAAGGCAACCAGGGGACGCGGGGTAAGGAAGCAGGCTTTGGAGGTGTGATGGTGTCCCCCGGGGTTGTGCTGCCATTGGAGGTATCACACAGCCATCACCTCTCTCCCTTCTTCTCTTTACAGAGGATTCTCAGGTCACCAGCACAATATCCCCTCTCCAGTCCCCACACAAAGGACTCCCTCCCCGGCCACCCTTGCACAACAGGCCTCCTCCTCCACAGTCACTGGAAGGGCTCCGCCAAATGCATTACCACCGCAATGACTATGACAAGTCCCCCATCAAACCCAAGATGTGGAGCGAGTCATCCTTGGACGAACCTTATGAGAAGGTCAAGAAACGCTCCTCACACAGTCATTCCAGGTGAGCCAGCTATCTTGAAGCTCCATCACAGAGATAACCTCTGCTTTCAGAAGGGATAGGTGTGAGCCCTTTCAAAATTTACAAAGCTGTCCCTTAACAAAAGGAGACTTTTAGGTGTTTTGGCCAATAGGCATGTCATAAAAATAGGCTGCAGCCACATGACTGCTGCTTGGTATCTCAATGTTATTTTAAAATACATTTAGAAAGGAAGGATGGTGAATCATCTGAGGGCTTTGACAGGGCTTGGCCTTGACCTCCAGCTACTGCAGAAGCACAAGCTCTGGGACACAGCTCAGAGCAGCGGCTAACCCAACTCCCACTCACCCCTGTAAGATCACAGGCACATGCCTGAGATCTGGAAAGAGGTGTGGGAGCCCCTTCCCCAAACTCCTGCCCGGGAACTGAAGCGGGGTGTTTGCTCTGCAGCAGTCACAAGCGGTTCCCCAGCACCGGGAGCTGTGCTGAGGCGGGAGGGAGCAGCTCGCTGCAGAACAGCCCCATCCGGAGCCTTCCCCACTGGAACTCCCAGTCCAGCATGCCGTCAACGCCGGATCTACGGGTACGCAGTCCGCACTACGTCCACTCCACACGGTAAGTCTTCCTGGCTCTGGTCTTACCTTGCTTACCCTGAAATAAACATTCTTTGCTTTATCCTTCCCCCAGGATACTAATTAATTCCCAGTTCGGGAAAGGACACAAACCAGTCCTGTTCACATCAGAGGCTCAAGTACTGTTGCCAGTAGGGAATCTCTCCTGAACTGAGATCCCGAAATCACTTCAGATAAATGTGATCCTGCCCCTCATCTCCCTCTCAAAGTAATCAAGCTTTTCTTCCACTGCGACCTTTCATCTCAGGGACTGTTTATAGGCGGTACAAACCCCATGGCACTTTTAAAAGGGATGTGGTGCGACTGCTAAATTCTGCAGTAAATTCCTTTGTGGATCCAGCTGGAGATGACATGTTTCCTGTCTGATACAAAATGTTGGGTAGTCTTAATTCCCTCTTAATAGATAAAATGTTTGCACGTGTGTGATCGTATGTGGAGAGAGAGCCTGTATAAAGCAATCCACCCAAGGATCCAGGTGGCAGTGGAATAAGCCCAGGGTTGACAGAGGAAAGAGCTGAAGTGTGTAAGGGAGGTGATTTGATGTGGCCCAATTTGACTCCAGTTTCCAGCAGGATTTCTACAAACTGTTCAGCTTCATTGCTCTTTTGCTCTCGTGGCAAACTCCATGGATACTGGAGGAAGCAGAGCTGAGCCAAAGCTGTGTGCTGTTAGGTATCCTGCCCTAAGGGGCAGTGCTAACATCATTTAGCTCGGCATAAATCAAGAGTCATGCCAACACATCAGACTCAGGCAGAGACGATACAAGGCTTTAAGGCCCTGGGTTGAGTTTGTTATAAGTTTTTGGCTGAGAGTGCCTTTCAGGAGTGCAATGTTCATTAACACTGGAGCCAAGCTGCGTGAGAAACAAGCCTGGCACAGGGCTTGAGAAGTGGCCTTGACCGGGTAGGGGCCATTTGGGTGTTTGAAACACGTCTGTGGCTCATTCATGAGCTGCGTGCCCTGGCCTTGGCCATCCGTCATGCGGGTGTGTGACTCATCGCGGGTTGTTCCTGCTCTGTGAACGGACGGCTGAAGCTCTCCAAACAGCCAGGGTGAATAGAGACCACCCAGACTTGGCCGTGAATCGAGCCTTGAAAACTTGTGATTCGAGGTGGTTGCCTGAAGGGCTGTCATCTGCCGACAGTCCTACACGTGCTGCCCATGGCTGGGCCCTGGTAAAACCTAGCTGCTTGACAGAGGTGACTTTTTCAAAGGCCAGTGGAGAAATCACTGCATTCTGGGCTAAGCATGGGCAGTCTGTCTGTCTGTGTCACGCCAGGTGGATTGTACATGTGCAGGGCATTCATTCACAAGCCACTTGCAAGGGAATCCCAGCACCTTTAAGGCTAAGGTCTCGGGATTTGCAGAGCTGGAGCGAGGTGAACCTGGTAGCACAGGGATGGTGCTGATTCAAACAGCTTTGCCACGAGGCCGCACCACCAAAGCCAGGGCTTGACGTCCCCAGGTTTTGCCCTTCAGATTGGGTCTTTCCCAGGGTGCCAAGCCACAGAGGAATCGGGCTGGGCAAGGGTTTGCGTCCCCATGTGGTGCTGCAGACTGAATGCCACCACCAAGGAGACTGGAGAGGAACAGGAGTAGGACCTAATCACTCCAAACCTGCAGCGGGGAAGCAGGTTGCTTTGCAGCCGGCAGCCCCACGCAGTGCTGGAGGGGCCCAGGTTTTCGGTGCCTTCCTAGTCCCTTGCCTTTGAAGCTGGCCTTGTGTGCAGAAGCGGATGGGGAGTGCTGTTGCTGTTCCTAAATCAACAAATCCTGTTGATTTACCAGCCTGGATTTTTTTTCCTGGTACCTGCAGGTCAGTAGACATCAGCCCGACCAGACTGCACAGCTTAGCTCAGCACTTTAGACACCGGAGCTCCAGCCTGGAGTCGCAAGGCAAGCTCCTCGGCTCAGAAAATGAGACAGGGAGCCCCGATTTCTACACCCCAAGGACTCGTAGCAGTAACGGCTCTGACCCCATGGACGACTGCTCTTCCTGCACCAGCCATTCCAGCTCTGAGCACTACTACCCGGCTCAGATGAACCCCAACTACTCCACCCTAGCAGAGGATTCTCCGTCGAAAGCCAGAGAGCGGCAGAGGCAAAGGCACAAATCAGCGGGCAACCTGGTCTCTTCCAATTCAGGGAGTATGCCCAACCTGGCTGCGAGGAACGGGACGGGGCACCACCGCGTCTACCTGCACAGCCAGAGCCAACCCTCCTCCCAGTACAGGATCAAAGAGTATCCCCTGTACATCGAGGGCAGCTCCACACCCGTGGTGGTGCGGAGCCTGGAGAACGACCAGGAGGGACACTACAGCGTGAAAGCACAATTCAAAACCTCCAACTCCTACACAGCGGGGGGGATGTTTAAGGAGAACTGGCACGGGGATGAAGTGGACTCTGTCAGGCTCACCCCCTCCCGCTCCCAAATCATAAGGACTCCATCTCTGGGCAGGGAGGGCCACGAGAAAGGCTCGGGTAGGACTGCCGTGTCGGACGAGCTGCGGCTCTGGTACCAGCGGTCCACGGCCTCCCACAAGGAGCACAGCCGCCTCTCGCACACGAGCTCCACTTCCTCGGACAGCAGCTCCCAGTACAGCACATCTTCGCAAAGCACCTTTGTGGCGCACAGCCGGGTCACGAGAATGCCTCAGATGTGTAAAGCAACATCAGGTGAGAGACGGTCCGGGACAAAGGGGCGGGAGGGACGGGGGCTTCATGCAGCCCGGTTTCGTGCCAGGCATTACACCCCGGCTGGAGAGCCGTGCCAGACCGTAGCACGTTCTCTGGCCTTCACATGCTGCTCACCAAGCCTGTAGGCGTAACGCTGGGGGGCAAGCCTTGTCTGAGACTCATCGGGTGAGAATTTTTTTCCATGGAAATCATCAGTTTGCAATGATGGGCTCAAAAGACAGGGAGGGACTGAAGCCCTGTTGTTGCCAGGTCTTTCCTCAGAGTGCAGTTGGGTTTTGGGTGATGGCACTGGGGACCGAACGTGGAGAAACCATGGGGAGGGTCACTCTTAGTAATCACAGCGAGGGGAGCGATGAAGCAAGCCGGGGCTCAGCACAGACTAGGAGAATGCATGTCCTCTGTGAACCACCAAAAGCATGAGAAAGGTTAAGTGGGGAGCATCCCAGCCCCTCCGCCCCCCCCCAAATGTTTGAGCGATGACATCTTTGTGCTCTGCTGAGACTTGGTTTTCCCATGCAGCTCCAGTAGCTGTGCTGATAATATCCTGAAATTCAGAGCGCTTAAGTTTGTACAGTATGATGCCTCTCTCTCAGGTACAGAGCTTTGCATTCCTCTGTGCTGTTAATATTAAATGGTAAGAAAACAGTCAAATTCATTAAACTGAGGGGGCCACTATGTGTTATGAAACAGGCCAAGGTTAAATATTTACTGGCCATCAGTCACCGCTGGACAAGCCAGTTTGGATAGATCAAGGACTTGCTAAAAGCCTGAGTCCAGCCTCACGTGGATGGGATTGCTGGTTAATCAGTTTGCACCGTGCCCATCCCCACCCTTCCACATGCCTCAGGCTTGGCTTGGCATGGGAGACACCACTGGTCTGGCCTCACTTGCCGCAGGTCCTCGTGGCCTCCCCAAGCAGACCAGTGCATCGTCCACCCGTGCTGGCTGTTGGCCTTCTGACATCCCAGCATCGCACCCGGTCCACGGTGACCACCACGCTGACACGAGTGGGGCTTTGTATTCACTGCTGACTCCAGCATGGTCTGACACCAGGCTCCTCATGGGCCACCAACAGCTGCCCGAGAAGGGGCTGATTTATGCGTGATGCCAACACTCACAGGAGGCCCAGATGTGGACCAAGACACAACTGAGTAGCTGCTGGAACCATCGTGTGTTCCCATATGAAAATCTGTCTTCCCCCCTTTGATTAAGCAGCATTTCTGTTCCACCCGGCAACACGAAATGCTGGAAGACTGGAAAGCTTTGCCTTGCTTAGCTTTGGAAACCGTACCCGTTCAGTTAGGTGATCTAGAAAGGAAAATGGTGGGGTTGGGGGAAGAGCACATAAAAACTGCTGTCAATCAGTCTTTTCCCCCACCCAGCTGGTCTTTACATCTAAACGCGATATCTGGGCAGCACAGTGGCAAGCATGCTCAGTAATCACAGCTTGTCATAACCAGTTGGCAGCACAGATTGGTTTTGCATTCAGAGTCAGCTCCCAGTTACAGCTGTGGGAAGATACCGACCTCGGCGGCTGTTGGCTCCAAGGAGCAGATTAAAATTTGTTTTTCTCTTGAAGCGTCATTTGGCAGCAGCTAAAGAATTTAACAGCACAGAAGGGGATGCCAGGTAGAAACATCCATCATTTTAGCTGATTAGCCCTAGCTGATAGGTCTACTGGACTTCACGTTGTCCTTCAAAGAGGATCATGCTCCTAGGCCTATATTAAATTGGGAGGGTCAGCTCTGGATGGACTTGAGGAGGAGGAGAGATCAGTCAGGTAGGTATCTTAGCTAGACTCGTACCAGGGAAGCTTCCCCAAGAACCACTGACAAAGGTACATTTTTAGTTCAGCTTGCTTCTGCCTTCATTGAAGTAAGAGTAAGCCTTCCTCGGGTCCCGTAGTAGTAGGGTCAGCAAAGCCCAACTTCAGTTTATGGCAGATGCACAGTGAAAGGTAGTCGTAGCTTTTGAAATCTTCGGAGGTGTCTTCCTCCTTTGCACCTGAAGCAGTGTACTTGTCCGGACTCTCGCCAGAGCCAGCTCTGGCTCCCAGGGACACAGAGCATCTCCTGCCAGCCCTGGAAGCAGGAGGCTGAGCCTGACGGGCTGGGCTCCTCCGGTTCGGGTCCCGCGGAGATGCACAGCCGGGCCCTGCCCGTCCAGGCAGCAGCAAAACCGATGAGCTTTCCTGACGGGAGTGGTGCGGTGTTTCCCAGGCAGGGCTTGAGAGAGTCCGGGTTGTATGCAGCTGGAGGCCGGGCTGAAACAAAGCATTCC